TTTAAATTTTCTTTTTTGCGGTGCACGTGGCGGGGTTTGCACATAGCGAGTTTGATCCCCGGAGAGGAGCTTTTTTTAATTTTCTTTTTAGCAGTCGCTGTTTTGCTTTTAACACTCAAAAACTAATTGTTCAAGTCCCGACGTATGAGTTTTTTAAATTTTCTTTTTAACATCCGCTGTTTTGCTTTTTTTATCAGATGTGTTTTCTTCTTTAAGTGGTCTCGTACCAATTTCATCAACTTGGGTAATATCATTTCAACAACTTCTACCTCAATAACGGCAGTAAAACCTTCGTCAGCTGAAATGTCAGCTTTTTTTAAAAGCACTTGTTTTGGAAACGGCCGAAAATTCATGCGCGCGCGGATGTCATCCATATAATCAAATCAACATGGCCTAAGTAAGACTATTCAGGCATTATAATTATTTGACATACTTTGACTTAGGGGCATTGTCATCATGAAGGCGTTTAAGAAGTTTCCTAAAAGGGATTTTGATCTACTGTAAAATGTCTCTATGCGGCTTGTTCTTGCTTATATCTTGCTATAGCTGCATGTAGATCCAACACCTGGCTTGACTTTGATACTTTGCTTATGTGGGGTGCCAAACTTTATCAGCAACTCGAAACACTGAGGTCGACTCGGAATCAAGAGGTCCCGGGTTCGAGTCCTAACATGCCACCGATCTTGCCCTTGGGAAAGGCAGTTTACACGACTTTCCTCACTTCGCTCAGGTGAAAATGAGTATTGTATTGTCCCCTGTGTTTGAGGTGGCATCAATATAAGTTGAATAAACTTGAGTGTGCCGTCACCACGTCTTGTGATTAGAAGTTGGAATATAAAAAAAAACATATCCATCTTGTGCACTTATTTCATTACAAGCTGCAATTTCCTGCTAAAATAAGAATACATGGTTTCTTGACTACGAAATAAATAGAAACAAAATTGGAAAAAAAATTCATCTTTCCCTTGCTTTCAACATATTCCACTTGATAGGGAATAAATACCTGGTTCGTTGATGGCTTTTAATACATACAATTGCACATTGCAAGTCATGTTTTATTCAGATCAGCAAAATTACCACGAAGCTGCCTATTGCCATGGGAATCATGTTACGCAAGCGAGTTTCAACAGAACATGTATATGTACATTTCCCACGAAGACCATCACGTGACTAGTGTTGTGTAACATGGTGGTGTGATATAACATAATTAGTCTGTACATTTTGATAAATTCTGAGGTCTTACAAAATAGGTAGACTTTATTTCTCTCATTTAGATCGTACAGAGCCCGGGGTGTTTTGTCAACCCAAGAAAAGGAGTCAACAGGACAGCCGACAAAGGCAAAATATACTCTGTAAAAATATTGAGAATTTTGAAAATCCATCCACTCATTTATGGACAGTATTGCTAATACTGCTATTAGAGCCGTCCTGCCGCCGGGACCTTACGGACCACTCAACCTCGTTAGTTTCCAGTTGGAAGGTCCGACACTCATCACTTTGGGCAGCTTCAAGGCTTAACCTCAAGGACAAGGTAAGAGACTCCGCTTCCTTTCTTGTATATAGTTATTCTACAAGACGAACAGGTAGGAATTCAGATGTATCCTTCCACGAAATGCTTGGATCCGGAGCACAATTCCAGTTTCGCCCGTACGGGGTGTAGTCGGTAGGACACCGGCTGTCGGGATTTTCCTTAGCGCTAACTCACAGTGGCGCTACCCTGTAGGAGTCGTTTTGTTCAGGTGGGCATTCGGGAAATTTCGTTCCGTGCAGCTAATCAGTGATATGAAAATAAAATGGCCCGGTAGATTGCCGGACTCTGTAAGGGAAACTGTCGGGATTATCACGATTATATGAAATACTAAAATAATGTATCACTATATTTCACCTGTCTCGTCTGCTGCAATTTACAATTTGTGAACGAAAATTTGCAATTCAGAGAGTTTTATCCCTACTGTTTGCTTTTTTTGGTGTCACGAATAAATATACAGAAATAGAATTTACAAAATCAATTTCCAAAGAAATTCAAATTTATTTTTGCTATGCCCTAACCCCACACCATTTTAGAACAGACCGTCCATAGTCTTGTGTCTTACAAAAAGGAAATGGTCCAAAAACCATATGCTTATGAGTAATCTGCATCTTGGGAACTAGAATACTCATACGAAAATGTTTGCGTATGGGGCAATTACTGTATCACACACTATTATCACATATACATTAACAATCTAATTTTTACCACACATAAAAACACATCAAAAGCAATTCTAAAATGTACCCTGGTGTCATTGGACAGAAGAAATATTAGTAATCATTTATGCATATCGCAGTATATTACCAATCCATGGTACCGGTTCATAACTTATAATCATTTATTAATCATTGCTTTTGAGATTTTTTGCTCAATTTTAATTTGGTATGGTTATCATGCAATTTATTTTGTTATTCATGTATTTATTTGGTTCAATATAAACGTGTTACATGACCAGCCTGTCAATTTTAATTTGGTATGGTTATCATGCAATTTATTTTGTTATTCATGTATTTATTTGGTTCAATATAAACGTGTTACATGACCAGCCAGGGTTCCCTATAGCTACTAGTAATTTAAGAGCTAACCTAAGGAAAACGATACAGTGCAACCAATGGGCTATACACACAATCACACAATAAAATCACACAAAAAAGGTTATAGATTTACATTGGTATTTACTTCAAGTCATGCATTTTACATTCACGCAATTATATTTAATTTATTCATACTTATTTTGTTAAGAATATAGCAGAACATACTTAGTAGTTGATAAAGTCTTGTTTCTCTTTCCCGGGGTTTAGTCATAAAGCCATTGAATAATGGATAGGCTAGAATATTTCTTAATCCTTATGTGTCCGTCCGTCCGTCTGTAAACGCGATAACTTGAGAAGGCTTCAATGGATTGTTTTGATACTTGGTAGGTGGGTAGGTCTTAATGAGACCTCAAAATACTAGTAATTAGATTTTGGACCCCCTAGCGGCTTGTTATGGTACTGCAGCTGAACTTCCGGTTTTGATATCTCATGATCTAAACATGCTAAGATGACGAAATTTGGATGGTAGGGTGCTCTTGTGCTGGGGAAGATGTGACGAGTTTGGGCCCCCTAGCGGCTTGCTCTGGAACTGCAGGACTATCTGTTTGAAAATATTCAAAAGAGCATAACTCAAGAAGCGGTTGACGGATCGTCATGATTTTTGGTATGCAGGTTGCTTACGCGATGCTTAATATGATTAAGTAACAATTATGCAAATATGGATATAATTTGCATAATTTAAGGGAAAATTCTATAAATCAGCTGCAGTCCATCATAGGACTATGAAGCTTGTGACATTGGTAATTGAGAACGAGATAAACACAGGCAGATATTGATCATGTAAATAAAGACTTAATTTGCATAATTAATGAGAAAATGTTATAATTCTGTAATGATAACTGCCTGGAATTTCATACTTATGGTATTTGAAAGTTCATTGAAGGTGAACATCATTTAAACATAATGTATTCAAATTAGGACCAAACATAATGTATTCAAATTAGGACCGACCTCATTTGCATAATTTATGAGAAAATGCTAGTTTTGATCGTGCGCTCGCTATTTTCATTGACATTATGAAACATTAGGCTCTCTAGCTCTGCAAATTGTTAATGTTGCATCATATAGTATATCCGAGCAGTGTATATCCATATGTTACTTTAATTTAACCAACACAACTCCCCACCCCATTATATGACCGTAGCAGGCCTTACATGTATGTTTTCTACTGTCTTTTATCCAGGTGACAAAACAACATGGGTAGAAAGTTACAGGAGATGCTGTTTGTCCTACTCATCATACTGAATGAGCCCAACATGTCAGCAGCTGACTGCAGCTGTTTAGTGGCCATGTTGTGCGACTGCTGCAGTTTAAACCTCACCAGTATCCCTCAGGACCTACCAACATCTGCACAAGTATTGGACTTGAGATATAATACAATGAAAAACTTAAGTCAGTCAGAGATGAATGTGCTCTTAAGGTATAAGAAATTGATAAATTTAAACTTTGGTGACAGCCGTATATTTAACATAGGCTGTTTCCCAAACCTACCCGCGCTTAAATGGTTAAGCCTGACGTTGAACGAGATTACTTATCTCCACCCTGAAACATTTTCTAATCTTCCCAAACTGGCAGTGCTGTTCTTAAATGGTAACCAGATAAGTAGCATTCAGCCTGGTACATTTTCAAAGCTAACACAACTCGACAAATTGTACCTTGATCACAACAGGATAACTTACATTCGGTCTGGTACATTCTCAAACCTACCAAGTCTCAAGTGTCTGGTACTACATTTTAACCAGATAATAACAATATCACCCGGTGCATTCTCAAATCTGCCCCAGCTCCAATCTTTGTACCTCTACTCCAATCAGATAACAGACCTTCAATCTGGCACATTTTCCTATTTTCCCCAGCTCGAAGCACTGTTCTTGAACTACAACAAGATATCAAATATCCAGGATGGGTCATTCTTAAATATACCCAAGCTACACACTTTGGCGCTGAACAACAATCAGATATCCACCCTTCCCCCGTCATCTTATTACATATTTGTATTTACTGCTAAGGTAGACATTGGCTTCAACCCCTGGCACTGCGACTGTCAGATGGTTCCCTTCAGACTTCTAATGGGCAGATCTCATTCATTTGAAAATGAGATAAGATGTGCTCAACCTCAACATTTCTTGGGACACTTGCTGAAAGATATCAATCCCGAACACCTGATCTGCTAGGAGTAAACTATAATGCATGTTGATACAAAGTCATCGACGCCTTACTTCTAGTGTCTACACCTTCATCAATAATTTTGACAATACAGAGAACAATTATCACTATACACCAGGCTCCACCTCTTATAGAGGGTCTGTTGGTAGCCAATTTGAAAATGCTAAGAACTGTTACGATCATTCACTATCGTTGGTACTTAAGCCACAAAACCCCTACATCACCCTTGTGGCTCAATAGAAGAATAGCAAGGCTATGGAATCCCTTTTATACATTGTTTATGTTCATCCATGTTCTAAAGTTGTTCAAAGATCATGGCCATTGTAACTTAGCAGCTTTGACTCAAATGTTAAAAAGATACTAGGTCTACTGTAATACTAGGTCCAAGTCCTGTTGGAATACCCCAGCTACTATATCACAACACAGCTACTATAATGGCCAGTGGTCATGATCAGCCGAGGCAGGTTTGACCAGTCTCAGGTCGTCACTGAAACCAAACTTCTCAGCTACTGATACCAGAATGACCACTAGCCATGATGAGGCAGGACATGGTAGAAGATAAGCATAAAATTACTTTTGTTGTTAAGAATCTAATTTTTCTTATTTCATCTGGAGGCACCTGCCTCTCAACGTGACTTACCCAAATTGCCGTTATTTACAAACACGTAGCCTCAGAACAATGCTTCGAAATTTAGGCCACAGCAAGTAATTCTTATGGGTGACATCGACACACGCATTGATTTTCGACTGACTTTGGAAAAAATACACAATGGCCCCGAAATGTAGCAATATTGTTCTCTTCTTGTTTTTTTCGCCCTGTCGCATTAGATTTGGAGTCTGTTGAGGATGTCATCCATACATTTTACTTGCTGTGGCCTTACTGGAATTACACGCAAAAATGTACATTGCTCGTATGGACATTAAAAAGACAGCATGTGGCGTGGAAATATAGTTACAGTGTTGCTAAGTTTGCTAGTCACTACCAGTAGCCCACCCGGTCCCATAGCGATAGCCCACGGCTCTTCAATGTCAGCCCCGATAGTGCGGATAAACTCCCCGCGGCGCGTGAACATGTCTACCCGGTTATCATCCCTGTTTGCCACGATTATGCGACCCAAACTGTCCACACAGACACCTAAGGGAAACCGTATTCCAATTTCCAAAATCTTGACTCCTGAATGACTGTACACCTTAACGCCTGCATAGTCCGTCAGTAGGATATTTCCCTCTCTGTCCGTTGCGGCTCCTCTAATTTCCACCCATGTGCCTGGTGTTTTAGGCAGTTTAAATCGTCTACAGAAAGAGCCGTTAGGATGAAACATCATGATTGTATCCCCCTCTCCAACGATAACTTTATCGTGGCGCGCGTCTATGGTAATGACGGGACTGGAACTATCACTTATGAAGTGTACGTCGAACTTCTTCATGGGTTGACCGTTCTTACTGTACTGTACGACATGCCCAACACCACGACTGTACACATCTCTTCTCACCACTATCCACAGGTAGCCAGGCTCCTGTCCAATACTGCAAGGGTACATGAGCCTGTTTTCACCCGGTAGTACAGTTGGGAAGAGGCGGAGATAAGTCCCATTCATACTGAAGACCTGGACTCGTTTGTTGAGGTAATCAGCCACAAATACCTCACTGTCAGCAGACACGGCCACTCCGTAGTTTCCCCGGAATTTCCCAGGTTCTGTTCCTTCTCCACCAAAGGTGATCTTCTCCAACTTTCTATCACCAATTTTGGCTATGCGTAATAAAAGCCGACACTCAAATTTAGAACATGTTAAGTTTACACAGTCACACACACACACACACACACACACACACACACACACACACACACACACACACACACACACACACATTCAAGATTTAAGATCCTTTAAATCAACTACAAATTTAACTTCGTCAGGACACATGACTTCACAGGCGCATGATAAGTGCCATTAAGTTTCGGTGTTTCTATTTACCAGAAATATGACTGGTGACCTGCCTTTCAATCAACCCTAGAGTACATCTAGAACACAACACAGTGAATGCGATCCACAGGTATCAAGTTAAAACAAATGGCATGAAATGAATGAATTGTGACGTGTGCAACGTGTGATGTGAGTGAGGTAGTTGGAAGTCGGTATCGGCCAGCGTCCCTGTTCAAAGGAAGGCTGATGGTCCCTATATAGCTTCCTTAGCCCCCGGAAATAAATAATCTTGTTCAATGTCCAATATCCTAACTCCATCCAAGTGCAAGCCTAAGCGTTCTACCGGCACACGACAAGAACTAGTCTCACCTTTGATGGTGACTGCCGGTAGCGTGGGGAAAGAACTACAGGATTCAGTCTGCGTTGTAGTAGTATACGAAGTATCCACAGGCTGTTGAACAAGAAAGAACAAATAAATGAATGAACGTAATAGAGGATCGTATTACCATTGGGTGCCATTGGTTCATCGATATCATAAGTAATTGTCATAGCTTTGCAAGCAACATGAAACAATGAAGAGCCTACAGACAGTGCAATGGTGCCAAGTTGAACAACTGACTTTTCTGAGAACTCTGCTACGGAATAAAATCTAAACTTCGATCTTAAAACCATCTGGACCTTGACTGCATTTCATAGCTGTGTGTTTGCCTCTGTCAGATGCTACAGGCAAATGTCAATGCATTTTGCAATTAAAGAATCACAGTAGGGAATTGCCCATAGCATCAACTGAGGTGAAGCGTGGAGCAGAAGTAGCTCATCATAGTGCAATGCTCGTTGCTAGTCATCGAGTTTGAATTACGAAACTCTAACTGACATGTCGACAAGGAAATTGTGAACAAAGCGAAACATGGCTATAGGACGGTGGCATACCTGTGCTGGGTTGGGGCTAATAACGTATATCCAGAGAAAGATTCCGCAGACGATCCATATCCCAAGGACGGCAGCCTTCTTCATAACTAAGTAGACCAGCCTGAATCCTGAAATATTCTAGGTTATGCTGAGGTCACATTTCGAAATAGGGAAAAACAATGAACGAATAACAGTTCTTATCAGGAATTTACACAAATAGTACTCATGATTATCTTTTGTACTTTTTTTGTGTGTTTTGTTGTCTTTTTATTATGGGTTCACCACACCACGAAGTGGTGTGGTGAAACCATATTGCTTTTTCTGATGTTTCTTCTTCTTCTTCTTCTTCTCCTGCCATTTTTTAAATGGATTCAGCTTCTTCATTTTAGGGCCCAAGGTCCTGAAATTTGGTATGGAGGTACAGTGGGCAAATACCCCTAGGCGTTTTTTAAATTATTGTGATACAGGCTTTTAGAATGGTTTTATTTGAGTTTTTTGGCTGTGTTATAGCAAATGTATTACTGTGTTAGTGTGCCTTGTTTACCACGTTTGGGCATGAGTCATCACAATGGAATGCAGGGCATCAACCAATAGGCATGCAGCTTTCCTCTATTCTTCTTGCTGATTGGCTGTTGGGATTTAACTTGATTAACACCTGCACAGAGCATTTCCACCTGCACAGAGCATTTCTTGCTGATTGGCTGTTGGGATTTAACTTGATTAACACCTGCACAGAGCATTTCCATACTGACAGTATGTCTGTATTCAAGTGTTTTGGTAGGTATTTCAAGCTTTCCTGCTCCAGCATTGGAATGCGGGGCATGGACGTTTTTTTTTTATTTTGAAAATCAACAGTTTGCATTATGCAATTAAAAATCCTAACCAATAAAGTAGGGAATAGCTATCCAACTGTTGTTTTAGTTGTATTTTACTTCATATTATAGTTATATCAATGTAAATCATTGTTTTCCCTTGTGTTTCTCATTCTTTCCCTGCCATGTCGTAAAATGTGGTGAACCCATCGCTATATTTGCTCCAAAGCAAATATTGGCCTTTCTAGTTTATATTGTAATTTTCGTTCCCGAAAGCTGTCAGCTAGGAAATGTGACCTTAGCATTACAGCAATTGAGTTGATGAATTTAACGTTTAAGAACTGCATTTTAGGGCTATGAGAGAACAAGAAAAAATTATTTTAGTAGGAATGATAAATTGAGATACAGAAAAGATAAATTGCCAAAGGCAAAGAAAAATCACAAAGATTTCTTCCCCAGAAACTGGACATCCAGACCTTGAATAAAACTAGCGCAGACGATACACCATGCTATTGTATCCAAATCAGTGCCTGGAGGGGCTAGGATTAGGAGCTGACACGGACGCATGCACACACAACGCACGCATACTGCTAAGCCTAAGAAGGATAAGCAATACGATTAATATGAAGTTCATAAAATTTCTTACTGCAAGCTGTAGCATGTTGGGCGTTTGGTAGTGCATTCCGGACAGCATTGCCCGACGGGTTGGTCGAGACGTCATTGACGCTGTTTGAAACCACCGTTGGATGATTCTGGGAGGACATTCCTGTTTGAGGGTCTCCTGAAGTTGTGCTGCATGCCATATCATCCTGGCACATGTATGCGGCAGCGTATGGTTTAATGTCCTCATCTTTAGATGCGATACTGTCTGTCTGTCTGTTTACAGACGCAGCACCACGTGTTGTGTGTTGGTTATCACTGCCACTGTCGTCATCGTTCTGGTATCTAACAGCGTATGGCTGGCTGCCATCACAGTTGACTGGCTCTAGGGAATCATCGTTGTTTAATGACTCGCCGACAGTATCGTCACCTTCTTGGTACCTGACAGCATAGGGCTGGATGACATCGCACGGAACGACGAATTTATCATGTTCTTCATCATCGTGATGATTTGTTACAGCATATGGTTGAAGGCAATGGCTGTCATCGTTGTTAGCTGGTCTGAAGGTTGCTTCACCATCTTGATGGTTTGTTACAGCGTATGGCTGAAGGCAATTGTTGTCATCGTTGTAAGCTGGCCTAAAGGCTTCATCATCGTGACGACGTGATATAGAATATGGTAGAAGGCAATTGTTGTTAGCTGGTCTGTAGACATCCTTATCATCATGAGGGGCGAGTGTTACAGCGTATGGCTGAAGGCAACGGTTGTCATCGTTGTTAGCTGGTGTAAATGTTACTTCATCCTCTTGATTGCGTGTTACAGCATATGGTTGAAGGCAATGGTTGTCATCGCTGTTAGTTGACCTAAATGAGGTTCCACCACCTTGCTGAAGTGTATTAACTGAAATCTGGGTACAGGTATTGTTTTCACGCTTATTTGACTTGAAGGTGGGTACAGGACTGACGTTTGGCTCCGTTTTGCTTTGTAGATACATTAGGCTGGGGTTAACGTCGTTTTGGGCGTACATCGGATAAGGGTTCATGGTGTTATGTGTGTACATCGGGTTTGGATTCCTTACTTGTGTGTTCATGTTACTGTCCTTTCCCTTGAAAGCTGAAGTATCATTATCATTCTTGAATGAGCCACATCTTGCCAAGTGGATGTCGTTGCCATTACCTCTCTCGGACGCTGTTCTAGCTGTCTGAGAGAGTTCGCTTCTTGTCTCTTTCACAGTTTTCTTCCTGCAAGTGTTATGTTCTCTGCATATGTATGCAATAGCGTAAGTATCAAACTCGATTCCCTGTCTGTTCTCAGTGGTAGCATTGCTTCTGATAGACAGTTGTTCATCGTCAGTGTGTTCATGTTCCTCGAGTCGACCAGAGATGTGGTGATTGGTGCGTTCGGCAGCTTGCCTGGCGCGAGGTCGCACAGTTTCTGGTTCTGTCATATTTTCCCTGGAAAAGTCGTTTTCGGCCCTTGCTTTTGGAAGGGTGTTGGAGGGCAAGTCTTCAGCCATGGCTCCGGGACGTTTTTTTCTATTAATATACAAAATAGTAAGACGAAGTGAAGCTGTACCCAAGTTGTACAATTTCACCACTTGACGTAAATTTGCACATTTACGTGCATAACAACGATGCAAAAGTGCGGTCCCCCCACACCCCAAAGTTTATAGAAACCATTGGTCTCTTGAGTGAATGTTTGTGTAAGCAGTATAATCGTAAAATTATTTTCGAAAGTTATTGAAGGCATGCCTCTAAGACACACGTTATCAGAGGGAGGGTTTTACCTAAAACATGTGACCAATTGTGTTTGATAGGTTGATGAGAATGTTCTCTCTAAGCTAACTAGATGTTTATATTTGACTGTCATATCGGCCAGCAAACTCTGACTCAGTGTTTTTCATTTTCTTTATAAGTAGTAGAAAGATGGTATAAGTAATGAGCTAGTCAGACGCGGTACCGGCCAAATCATATTGGTGCAGCACCAGACTGTCTCGGCTTTGGCAATGGCTTCCCAGGGTGGCGCTGAACTGGTGCCCGGCAGGAATAATTGATGAGGGAGGCCAAGCAATGACTTAGAGAAGGAGAGTCGAGCGGAGACTTACAGAGATTGGTTGTGGGTAAGAGGGGGGGGGGGCGTAACAGGCAGCAAGAAACATGACAGTATATGGAGGAAAATGGCGGCCACCCTTTGTGTTTGACATTAACATGTGGCAGTGATGATGATGAAGCATCTTCACCTAATACAATAACTTGATTGTTTATCAAAGCGAAGCACATTTAAATTTTTTTATCCTGAATTCTACCTGCCTATGTGCATTGTATAGATCACTGAAAAAAAGGTAGACAGAATCAATTCATTTCTATGTAGATGAAGCAGCCCACGAGTCATCTTCTTATACCAGACAATTCAATTCAGTGCCGAGATTAAAAGTGCGCACTACACTGTGTAAATTAGAGTTGCAAAAATTGCTTTTTTTCCTAAATTTTCTAAAAATTTCTTTTTTCAGTTCATCACATGTATGCTACTTTTTACTATCTTGAGGTTTTCTAGTCATAGATTTTCAATTCTCTCTCAGTGAGGAAAATACAATTAGGCTTAAACTGTTATTCAATTTAACATTGCCTTGTTGAGTGATTTAATGTTACCAGTCGTGTGTTTAAAGAACAGGCTGTTCATTTGTTTATGCTACCACATAACATAGAATTCTGCACCATCTGGGCCGTTGTTGTGTTTCTTTAATGAAAGCAAGCTGCTTCAGCTATAAACTCATTGATGAAAGAGAACAGTGTAAAGTGTATACATATACCGACCGATTTTCAAGACGATGGTCATGAAGAAATAAAATACAATGCAGATTGCAACACTAAAAGGCACCCAAAGCAATTTTTGGTCAGTACAACAATTTTCTGTTCATTTTGTAAGTGCAGTTATCAATCCTAACCCATAGCATTCTGATATCTGCGGTACAAAAATGCGATGTCGCTGCCGGAAAACGGTTATATACAGTATCGTGGGTAAATTCTAGCTATTTATTGGTGGTATCAAACGACAAGACGCCACACGTATCTTATTTTCGGGCTATTTTAAACGATTCAAGTATGAAATGATGACGAAAATTTACTAAGAAATCGCAGTAAATGTCAAGATGGAAATATTCTCACCCACAATATTTTTGTATTGCTGTCCTGAAATTTCAATGGATACCTGTAAGTGGTTTGTTGAGTAAAATAGAAATGTAGGGAAGAAGAAAGATTCAGACATTTTGTACTTACGGCCAGGCTTCTGTAGCGACGTGTCTAATTGTAGAACCGACCACAATAGAGACTCTCTGCCGGTAGACCACACAGATATTGAATAAACATATCCCATAGACGTTAATAGTGTTGTCTAGGAACATCAAGGTATGGTACTTTCTAAAATGGTTACTGTAATGTTCATAGAATGTGACGAAAAATCTGTTGTAAGAGTAAAATGCAGTGTAGAAGAGATTTCGTAGAAAGTAGAAAAAAAGTGTGTCCAGTATTTCCGCGTCATTAAGCTGCCCCTCCCCTGGAAGTGGACTGGTCCAATTGTGGGCGGAGGTTTACTTGTAGACTATGTATGTATGATGCGTCTGGACTTCTGTAAGGCCAAGTTGATTTGATTATATATATGGATGACATCGCACGCGCAGGTTTGAGCGTTATTGTTGTCATTGTTTATTACATCAATGGCAGACCACTTAATGATGGAATGCATAATGTTCAAGCTCTTTTACACAATGAAACAAAGGTATTTTCTATCCTCTACTATAGTTTCCATCCTCAACCACAAAGGCCCAGTCTTAAAAGTTAATACTTCCCTGTTTCTATTATTACTTAGTTGGATGACAGTTGATCCAGCTATACAAATACAGATACAGACGCCAAGTCATGTCCTTGGTACTGAAAACTGTCACCAACTGCCTTGTATTTGATTCAGTAACTAATGACCCTCACCGTACCATTTCAGTATCACAAACAATTGATATTTGTCCCCCATGTTCTGTGAGATCGTTCTTTCTCTCCCTCAAATCTTGATCAAAGTTTCCTTCGCATCGTTTTCATCGAAAGGAGAAACTATCCCTTTCTTGGAGAACTCCTCCTTGACTTGAAACGTATTAAGAAGATCAATCGCGATTAGCTTCTTCTCAAATTTTCCGTCTTCCCCACTACCGTGCTCTTCCTTCCTTGTTTCAAGACCTGTCTTTTTCGCCTCGAAGGACTTCCAAAACTCCATATTTTTACGTACTTCGTCTACTATTTTGCTCTCATGTTGACACAGGTGTTCATCTGTGTCAAAGATAGAGTTTCCAGTCGGTGGCCAGGCCATGATATAAAAAGCGTGAAACAAAAGGCAAAAAACAAAGAGATAGTTGAAAAACACAATCACAAGTATTATCTGTTTGTACTGTTGAAATGCATTGTTTAGCTTACACGAAGAACCTGACCGAGCCCCGTTTTGGAAATGTGACCTAAGCCTAGCCCTTTTTGCATGCCCTTCACTTCCTTCTACTTCATCTTCATCATATAATTCCTCATAATCTTCTTCTTCATCATCCTCTTCTACATTTCCTACTTCATCACTTCTTTCTACTTCATCTTCATCAAATTCCTCATAATCTTCTTCTTCTACATCTTCGTCTTCTTCACTTCTTTCAAGTAATTCTACTTTATCTTCATCATCAAATTCCTCATAATCTTCTTCTTCATCACCCTGTTCTACATCTTCTTCTCCTTCACTTCTTTCCAGTAATTCTACTTCATCTTCATCATCAAATTCCTCATAATCGTCTTTTTCTTCTTCTCCGTCACTTGCTTCTTCTTTGTCTTCATCATCTACTTCTTCCTCGGTGACTTGTTCGTCTGCTTCTTCTATTGCCTTGCCTTTTGCCCGATATTCACCGCCTTTAGGCCCTAAAAAACGACAAAGATGGTTACATTCACTAAGAAAGTTATATTTGCAGTGGTGTTTGTCATTCTGTCTGTCATTCTGTTGATCAACAGGATAACTCAAGAATTCAAACGGCTGGATGGATTGATTTCATACTTGGTGCGTTGCATGGTAGGGTGTGACTAAAAACTGAAAATGGTGACATTTTGGGCCCCCTAGTGGCTTCCCTTGGTACTGCATAGCGGAATTTCCAGGTTATTGTTCAGATGGTTGGGGTTAACATCATTTGGCGAAGGAATGAGATCGTGGAACTCTAGTTAGTAGTTCTTATCGTAGTGGCCCATGTAAATGCTTGAAAGCCAACAGCACATAGAACAGTAGTGCCCTGGCAATTCCCCCAAAGTCTTGTAAATATTAACACCACCAACCTTCATCATCTTCATCTCCATCTTTGCCGGGGCTCAAAGATGTTATGTGAGCCCTGGCTACACCCCCATATAGCCCCTGATGGGGCACTTTAGGGGGGTGTTTTAGAAGCTTTTGTTGCAATTGTAGGTGGTGGTACTTAGAGTCAATTCCGCGTCACCGAGTGGGTTGTTATTGTCATTATTTAGAAATGTTTTGAATTCTTTGTAATTGTTTGTCTAAGAAATTTCATAACTTGGAAATATTTTGAACATCTTGTCAATATTCTAAATAATTCCCTGGTTTTCTAAAACGTTTGAAATATTCCTGATGTGGATTATGACATTTCCAATAGTTTCTAAATATTTCTAACAGCACTCTACCATTTTTTACCATTATTTCGAATTATTTCTAACATTTTGTAAATAGGTCAGTGGGATGGGAAGGAAGTAATTCACACATCCCTGTGAAGTACAGGGTAGACTGCCTGGGTGTCAGGCATTGATGCCTTACAACAAAAGAGCCACCAGTGTCCAGCAGTGAAATCTAAAAATATACAGAGGAAGACAGAAGAGTAGGATTAGCACCTACTTTTATGGGGGCAATTACCCACATCTACCATTTGGTTATTTGTTTGAAATAGTTCTAAATATTTCGAATTGTGAAAGAAACACATGGGTAGTTCAAATTTATTCTGAAGAAAGAGATCTTTGTACAGTCACATTCAAAATGCTTCAGAAATATATAAATGAATTCAAATATATTCAAATTTTCATTTTCAAATTTTTGAAAAATTTAGAACTTTTGTTACTGGGGTATTCTTTTCTTCTAATTAATTCAAACGTATTAGAAACATGGAGAAAAAACCCACTCGGTGACGCGGAATGGACTCTAGTGTTAGTATCCCAGATTTATTTATGAAATTTACCACATTTGTGGAAGGATACAGATGGCTTTTAGTTGCCTGCTTTATGGTCCACACGTTAACGGGCCGTAATCCCAAAGACTTCCATACTATTATAGTAGTTCTATGAACTATACATGTAAACTGTAACACCCATACCGTTTCGTTCCCAGGATAGGTTAGGATATCCCGCCACAGTACTGAGGATCAGCATCAGGCACAGGACGTGGAGGGGCTTCATTCTGACGGCTCGGTGCTCGATGATCTGTAAAACAGATAAAATTGAACAAAACGCACAGATTCAAAATAGGTTTTGGCAAAATGGAGGGAAGGAAAGCTATCGTCGCGTTTGTTTTCCTTGCCAGGTATAGTGGACAAAGAAATATCCGCAAAATCTTGACAGCCCCGTTCACAAACAAACTCAGACTAGCACCCACCAGGCTTCGGGAAGCGGAAGCAAAGAGTAAAAATTGTCAAAAAAGACAGATGACATGCCAGAGGCATGATTATAGTTTAAACTGTACTCTTTAGCGGACCTACTTCCTGGCATGCTATCTGTCTATATTTGGCCGATTTCTACTTTTTCTAGTCGCCTCTGAAGCCTGGTAGAGGTTCGGGAGTGTCAAACTGTACTCCTTTAGTGGACCAACTACCCTGGCATATGTTATCTGTTGATTTCGTTAATTGCTACTCTGTCCATTCTCTTTCCGAAGCCTGGTGGAGTCTAGCCTCAGACAACTTGCCAAGCTCTCCAAGCTCGATTGTAGTGAACCGTGCCCTGTGGTAGATGTGCACCGTGCGGTGATTTAACTTGTCAAGCGGGTCGGCTCAAGTGAGGCGGCAGAATGGGGAACAATGACCCTCAGTGCTGCTGTTACCTTCAGCCGAAGGCCTTGGGGAATGGCGTAAAGGGAGCATAGGTTGACAGACAGGTCGGTGACCTCTACAAAGACATCATAACAACACAGCTGTTTTTTGTTATTCACAAAAACACATAGACATAGACAAATACAGCACCAGTATACAGTGAATCAATGGCAATTGACTTCAGTGCACAGTGAACCAGTAACACCTAGCAGTTTAGTATACGGTGAACTACTAGTAACACCTAGCTTCGGTACATAGTGAACCGGTAACACCTAGCGTCAGTGCACAGTGAACCAATAACACATAGCTTCAGTGCACAGTGAGCCAATAACACATGGCTTCAGTACACAGTGAGCCAATAACACATAGCTTCAGTGCACAGTGAGCGAATAACACATGGCTTCAGTGCACAGTGAGCCAATAACACATGGCTTCAGTGCACAGTGAGCCGATAACACATAGCTTCAGTGCACCGTGAGCCAATAACACATAGCTTCAGTGCACAGTGAGCCAATAACACATGGCTTCAGTACACAGTGAGCCAATAACACCTAGCTTCAGTGCACAGTGAGCCAATAACACCTAGCATCAATACATGGTGAACAACAGAACAAGTAACACCTAGCTTTGAATTTGTCAGTATCGCATTGTCAACAATAATAATACACATGGCTTTAAGTGAAGTTTAGGAGTAACAGAGCGAATAAATGCAATACAATTGCATATATAAACCATGGTGACCCCCAAAACATATAACCAACTTAGATAAGACCTGGGAAAGATGAGATTTTGAGCATATTCCCCGTACAATGAAGCTGCAAATACTGTATACATACCATCTGTCTTCTCTGTCACGACCAGTAGAATATTGCCTCATCAGTGAGCTTAACTTTTTTGTACGACAAAATTTTGACAAGGAAGTGTTTTTTGCAAATGTGTGCCCACTGGACCTGGATGGGTCAGAAAGCGGCCCATCCAAGAAGACATATTTCATTACAATCCTTTGTTTGCTATCTTGCCGCAGGCTATGCGATTCGTAGATTACAAAAAAGACTGTATCTCATCAAAACAAAGTACCGATGTTAGGATAAGTACATTCCGAGCGTTAAACCCACAATTGCTAATTTTTTGGCGTAATCTCAATAAAATATTGTGTCGCAAGAAATGTTTTGCATTGTGTTTGTAACTCTCACACCGTACGTCATTGGGTGGGAAACTGATCATGTGCTTCTAACATCTTTGTTTTTCTGTATCTGTATCTGTATCTGTATCTGTATAGCCGGTATAACCGCCTTTCGGCGTAACACACCAGCTTCGCAGGCACGCGGCGCGGCGGCAGCTGGCTATATTACACCGATCGACTTGTTCCACCTAACCCTTGAACTTCAAGCTCTAGACATTGTTTAAAGCTATCTACTGACAGTGCCCCTACTGTACTTGGTGACAGTGAGTTCCACTCTGCGATAGTTCTAGGAAAGAATGAATTCTTGAACACCTCAATCCTTGGTTGATAACTCTGGTACTTGAAAGCGTGGCTATTTCTTGTTCTCTTCTGGGCTGGTATTAGGTACTTAGTAGTTGGGACATCCACCAGTTTATTAGTCATTTTGTACATCATGCATAGTCTAGACATATTTCTTCTGTCTTCAAGTGAGGTCCACTGTAGGTTTCTTTTCATTTCCGTGACACTAGCACCTCTTACATAGTTGTTCATACAGAATCTTGCAGCTTGATTCTGTACCCTTTCCAATTTGTCTTTGTCTTTCTTTGTATATGGATCCCATACTGTCGCAGCGTATTCTAGGTTCGGTCTTACAAGTGACGTGTATGCAAGTGATTTTACTCTCGTTGGACATGCCCACAGATTACGTTTAATCACTCCCAATGTCTGTTTCGCCTTAGTTGTGATATTATTAACATGTGCACCCCACTTCAGTCCGCTTGTCAGCGTGACGCCCAGATACGGATGGATTTTTGTGGTTGCTAAAGCCTGACCACAAAACTGGTAGCTAGTTGCATGGGGTGTTCGTTTGTTTGTTATGTGCATAATGTAGCATTTTTCGGGATTAAACTGCATGAGCCATTTGCTTTGCCATTCTTCCAGGGTGTTCAGGTCTTTTTGGAGAAGTTGTGAGTCGGTCTGTGTAGAAAGCTCTACATACAATAGACAGTCATCGGCAAATAACCTCACATTTGAGTCAAGCTGATCTGGTAGGTCATTTATATACAAGAGAAAGAGCAATGGCCCCAGGACGGTTCCTTGAGGGACCCCAGACGCTACTTTAACTGGAGCCGACGCCTTCCCTTCAACCACTACTGTTTGCTCGCTGTTGGTCAGGAAAGCCTTTAACCAATTCAGCGTAGGGCCTTGGATTCCATGATACTCCAGTTTTGAGATGAGCCTGCCATGGGGGACTTTATCAAAGGCTTTAGTGAAATCAAGTATTGCTAAATCTACCTGCCATTTACTGTTTAGTGCGCCAGCTATGTCATGGACTGTTAGTATAAGCTGTGTTTCTGTGGATCGTTTGGCTCTGAATCCATGCTGGTAATCCGTTAATATACTGTAACTTTCTAGGTGCTTCATAATTTGGCTATGGATGGGGGTCCCGCTACTACTTTGTTTTTCTCTTACTTTATGTGACATATGTATTATCATCAGTATTTTCTACCTATTGGATTCTTTTTGCTATTTATTAGGTGTAAGTGGTAGCGTTGAAATAAGTCTTGGATACTTGAGTGCGCTACTACTTTGTATTGTCCTGTTATACCGTCTGAACAATAAAAAAAATGTTTCAGAAGTTTTAGTCTTTGGTCAGAGCAACATCAGGTTTCGAAATGACCTACGTATATCAGCTTAGAGGACCAACGTGTTTACATGGACAGTGTAAATAGGAAACCAGAGTGTTTTCTCCTGGTTTGGGGCGATATTGATGTTGTCGGATCAGGAATTGGAGTACAGTCACAGAAAAAGACAACATATCCAAACAGTGTAACTAATGCATCGTTCCGAGGATACAATTTCTATACAGAAATCATACAAGAGCCCAAGGATTATACAACGTTGTGCCATAAGAATGGCATGAAGGAAATTCAGCATTTTGAAAGAATTCATTTCCATTTACAAAAGGGAACATGCATCTGTTTTAAAGGCTTGCCTATCTAGAGATACAGGCCAACGGCGAAATACAGATTGTAATTTGTATTATCAAATGGTGCCCTATAAGCCCACACGGGCGCTCGACACGGAAGCACACGACACGGAAATAAAGTCTCATTCATCCATACAGGTGTCTGAAAAGTGGTTCATTCATTCCAATGCTCAAGATATTCTTGAAAATGCCTCGATAACACTGTTTTCAGGTACCTAGTTGAATAGTGAGTTGACGTTACACCCACTGATATATATTATATGTATCCATGGTAAGCACTAGTCATTCAGATAACGCTCGTAACAGTACAGCTGGGCGGTTATTGTGCGAGGCTTCTAAATTAAGCCACCAGGAAGAAAAATAAAGAAACAAATGAAGGATTGTGTGCTTTAGATAAGATTGCAAAAAAGATATTTACATACCGTTGAAAGGCACACTGGCCAGAAAACCGCCTCAAAGAAGTGAAATAATCCGGAGGAAAATGTGACCCACCCGTACTCGGTACAGGTCAGCGCGGGTACTGGATACTGGTCGTGAAAGTGGTCCAAGGCCCCAAAACACAGGATTAATGGCGACCCTCGGGGGTCTATGACCCGTGTATGCAAAACAGGCTGCAGACACCAAAACTAATGCGAGCGGGGAATAAAAATTCCAGCCAAGAAAAAAATGCTGCTAAACCACAGGATACAAGGCTGGCATTGAGGCTGGCAATTTGCGGTTGTACATGTACAATTGTAAACTTTTACAACAAGTCAGATATGTCAGCGTCTGCATGACATATCTGAACCAATCGCGTCAGTCATTTTGAAGAACTGATCTGCATCTTCTTCTTACGTCTGACATAGCATCTTCCCAAGTCTGTCTAGTCATTCTCCCGAGGTAGAGGTGCTTCCGCGGCGTATATAGCCTGCGTAGTCTGTCCAGTCTGTGCTTCATCAATATTTCTTTCATGTGGTATTTCCATAGCCTCTACCAGGCTCCGCGGATCGCTGGAAAAATAGTAGAAATTGGCCGAAATAAAGGGATAGTACACCAGAGAAGATCCAGCCGGCCATAGAAGCTCCAATTTGCGACCCACGGGGGTACTTAACCACTTCCCACCTATTAGATACCACTTTGCACCTATTAGATAGCGATTAGTGAACCTCAAAGAAGCTTGCGACTCCGCACAGGCTCCGTGGGTCGCAAATTGGAGCTTCTATGGCCGGCTGGATCTTCTCTGGTATACTATCCCTTTATTTCGACCAATTTCTACTATTTTTCCAGCGATCCGGTAGAGGCTAGTATTTCCACCTTTTCCTGGGCCTGCCTAATAAAGGGCGCTTGCCCATCGGTTTATATTTGAAAGCTATCTTTAGAATCCCTCCCTCCCTCTTACACCCTTTCAACATGCCCCATCTGATGGCTACCCTTTCTATATCTTCTTCTATCGATGATATCCCGAGATTGATTTAGAAAAGCACAGTGTTGCTGTCTTTTCATATTATAATTTTAATAGAATACAGGACGAACGACATTTTGTAATAGAAACAGAGAAATGAACTGTATAGGTTTAAATTTGTACAAAACCGATTTCCCTATTTGATACACGTAAGCAAATTCATATTCGTAATGCGACCAGACAAACCATCCACCGAAAACATATCTGTTGTAATTTCTACAGTAATTAAAAAGCAAGGAGAAGTTGAATTTATGTAACGATAGTTAGTTTCATTTTGTATCTGTTAACTGTATCTGTAACTGAGAAGTTGAATTTATGTATAAAGATAGTTAGTTTTGAAATCATTTTGTTTCTGTAATTGTTTTGTTGTGATATGTACTTGGTCAAGTTTGGCAAAAATGTGCAAAAAAGGTCGTCGTTCATTCATTCATTCATTACAAATAACGAACATACAGAATACTACAAGGAAATATCTGAAAATTACAAACATTGGACACAAAACAGCCATCACAAAACTCCGGATAAGTTCACACAAACTCCACATAGAAAAAGGCAGACATAACCGCATTCCTGTACAACAAGGGATTTGACAATTTTGCGATTTAGATAAAATTGAGGATGAGTGTCATTTTGTAGTTAAATGTACATTATATAGAAATGAGAGGGATTCCCTTTATACTCATATAATAGATAAGTTCTCCAGATTTAGACACAATAGAAAAATTCGCATTCCTCATGAAACTTGACAAGTTATGTACAATGTATCAATATATTGTCATCAAGCAACTGGATATGATTTTTCAAAATCATATCCAGTTGCTTGAGTAACTGCTTTTTGTATCTTACTACCTGGATATCTATCCTTCATCGACGCATGTATCATTATATCCATATGCTCGTACATGTATAACTGTCTCAAGAAGCGAGAAAAAGTTGAACTTGTAAATAGTAGATCACATTAGTATGTATAGTTTACGTGTTATTGTTGTATTATTTCCATGTTTATTCGTGACCTGTATTTAGCTTGTTAGAGCACAAGCGTACAATGAAGGTCTTTCGTTAAAAACACGATCTCTGATCTTACAAATATAGATATTGCCTCTTCACTGACAGGCGCGGGTTGTCAGGCGGATGACACCTGTGTTGTGAAGACGCTGCAGTTCTTTGAACTCATCCGATATCTTGTGAGAGTTGGAGGGGAGGGCGTTGTCGTAGTAGTGCTCGGTCAGACGTGTGTTGTTCCTGTCGGAGTGGAAGGGCCAGAAGCCGTACAGGCGCACCTCATCACATATCTGTGTGGCGACAGTGACCAGGAGCAATCCTGGACAAATGATGAATGAAAGAAAAAAATTCTTAAAACAAAACAGACCATAAAAAACATTATCATGCCGATCATATAGGCTAAATCCTCTTAAGTGTGACTTTGGTGGTGAAACCATCTCAATACGTCTTGACACAGAGTAATACCGGTTTGGCGGTGCACTTTGGTAGCTCTGGGCCTAAATGGATAATATGAAAGAAACAAAATTACAGAATAAAGTGCACCGTGTCATTGCATCAAACAAATGATATATGCCATTGGATAAATGCATGTATGCCCATATAGCATATAGATAAAGATTCGACGAAGGTATTTTATACCTACGTACCAGTAGACGCCCTTGGAGCCTTCACACCACATGTTTGCCAGTAGGAATGCGTCGATCTGACGAAGTCAGGATGGGGATAGATGACCGTGTTCTTGGCGTGACTTTCCCATAGAACTTTTTGTGCTAAGAAGGCCCGCCTTGAGGTCAGCTCATACAGGAAGGCTTCTATGAACAGGTAGCTGTCCCCGTAGGCAGAGAGGTCCCGAAGGAATTTGTCTCTCGCCCCTTTGAAAGCCTTAGACGATCTATGTTCTAATATGATCCTATTTAGCTTTTTAGATTTTCCAAAATTATTGTACCTAGGTGGAATAAAAGAACAGGCAATTAGCATTTGAAATTGATAATATGAGTTTGCAACAAGCAAGCAAACAAATACATTAAAGACGGCATAAATAACCTTAGTTATATAAAATGTATGCACATGTACTCGCCACCATGTCAAATATATGCACTATATGCCATTTCATCATTGCCATTTTACTCATTTTTCTTGTTAACAACCCTTGTCCTGCTGTGCGCAACATATGTCGCGCGGCACATACAGTACCATCTATATAGCACCCTGTATAGGTACGATTTGGGAGTATTTCTCGTGCAACGCATCACACTGCAGCGAAACACAACGAATGCGGAAGTAACTATGCCACTGCAGGGCAAAAAAAGTCGGGGGTCTATAATCTAATTAAGACATGAAATTATTGAAAACAAGAGTTCCACGATCTCATACCTTCGCCAAATGATGTTAACCCTTGCGGTTGAAGAATCATACAATTTTAATCATTGATTTTGAAAATAAGAGCCTCATTAGCATGGATTATATCAGTTGATCATATTTTCCACCCAATGACAACCTTATCTTCACAAAAAGGCTATTATAGCACTTTCTCATAAATTATGCAAATGAGGTCATGATTTGAATAAATTATGTTTATTGATGTTCGCCTTCACTTAACTTCCAAATGTGGCAAGTATGAAATTCCCAGAAGTTACAACTATGAAATTATAAAATATTCCCATTAATTATGCAAATTAGGTCTTCATTTACATAATCTATATCCTCAGATGTTTTTTTCGTTCTCTATTACATGTCACACGTGTTTCATAGTCCTATTATGGAACGAAGCAGATTTATAGAATTTACTCATTAATTATGCAAATTAGCTCCTGATTTGCATAATTATCATTTGGTTGTGTCAAGCATCACTTCAGCTACCTACATACCAAAAATCATGACAATCCGTCCACCGGTTCTTGAGTTATCATCCTTCAAAAATTTTTCAACAAATGCTCCTGCAGTTCCAGAACAAGGCGCTAGGGGGGCCAAACTTATGTCACTTCTTCCCTACCTCAAGAGCTATCTACCAACCAAAATTCGTGACCCTGACATATCCAGATTGCGAGATATCAAAACCGGAAGTTCTGCTGCAGTACCAACAAAAGCCGCCAGGGGGCCCAAAATCTAATCATTTCTAGGTCTTATCAAGACCTACCCACCTACCAAGTTTCATGACAATGCATACTAAGCTTCTTGAGTTATGCTGTTCACAGACAGACAGACAGACAGACAGACGGACAAACGCTACTGAAAACATAACCTTCTTGGCGAAGGTAAATATTGTGCCAGGAATGCCAGCAGGACAAGGGTTAAAATAGTTGGAAACACATGACCAGACATAAAGCGTACCTGTAGTAGACCATACCGGGATTCATAGTAACAAGATGGGTTCTATTTCCAATGTCCTTCCAGTATATATCGTCCAATGGAGCCGTGTTACACCTACATTTAGCAACAAAATCGGTTAGGAGTGTTCTGTATAATATGTGGTGGTGGGGCATGGCGAATTTAGGAACAAAGCCTTACAATGGAATCAATGTATTCCAGAGAACGAATGTTAGTGCGCGAAAAGGGCATAACAGTAACATTTTTGTAATATTATACGAGTAAAATGAAGAGAAGACATTGGGGTGAACTAAAATTTGTTACTGCCATTCGGTGCATAAGGTTCACTGGTAAGTGTATAAGGTTCACTAGCTAACACGTATGGCATTTATGTGAATTTGAGGGGAAAATGATTACAAGAGTCCTTAGTACACAATCCTCCGTGAAGTAATTATTTTAGTCCATACATTGAAAAACACTACATGGGGGGTTTGCGAATACTTGTTACTGAAGAGCACTGTATGGGGCTTTCAAGAACATTTTACTGAAAAGCACTGTATGGAGGGTTCGAGAATATTTTACTGAAAAGTACTGTATGGGTATTGGGGACTACATGGGGTTATTGAAACACTTGATATTAAAGAGCACTACGTGGAAAAGGTTGATGTTGTTGTCCATGTTGGAACGAGGAGAAAGATGGACTAAAATACTGTATTGCTTTCAAGCAAATGTCTGCCTTTCTAGTTAGCTATAGTTTTTGTGGTGTGCTTTAAGGTCTTTAACTACCGTTATGTTATGATATTTCAAACAAATCCACGAAGTCAAAGGTCCTTACCTAAACACAAACTCAGCCGCGTCTATTTCTTCCCCACAGCCGCTTCCTTTGAGTATGCCGCCGTTCCCCACGACACTACAGGTTTTAAAGCGTTTGTTCTTAAACGGACTTTCCTGTGGGAAAATAACAGGGCTTTATAACTTTAATCGAACCGAAATGGAAGATTT